ATAAATGCTGTAAGTTATTAATCCTGGAAGATGTGTGGTGACTGAGCTAGCTAAATTTCTATTTTCTTTCAGGACAAAGTGGCCCTTCAGGAAAAAGTCAGCTTGAAGGGAAATGAAGTAATCCAAAATGTCTTTGGAGGCACAAGAAGGAAGTGATAGCTGGAATGGATGAAGGCCAGTTGAAGTTCTGGATCATGATGTCTCTTGCCACCTCCCCACTTCTCCTCCCCCCCCACCAACAGCCTCTTTTGGACTATGGTTTAAAGCTGTTCTTCCTTCGTAGAAACCTTGAGGAGGATAACAATACAAACACCATTTGTCTTTCCCCTGAAGAATACAACTGGAGTAGAGGTGCCTCTGCTGATAATAAAGGATTTTGTCACACATTTTCTTGTAACAGTTCCAAATCACTGGAATGCAGTGACCTATTAAAGTTAGCACATATTAGGAGATAATCCTCACCTGGCAGTAAACAACTTACAACACAACAAGGGCACTTAACACATATTAAACTGCTTGACCATGTGCCTGCTTGAATTTTAACTGCACTTAGTGGGTGCCTATACACAAGCAGACTAAATTAATTGATTCATCGTCTGGTCAATTTTCAAGTAGATCAGACCAACTGATTCACTGATTAATCGAGTCTGCTGGAGCGTGGTAATTACTGCACTCCAGCAGACTTCAGTGTCTTATGTATCAGCGTTCCCACACTGAAAAATGGCAGCGGGAGTGCTTTAACTGAAGCTTGTCTAGAGATGCTGGTGCACAAGATACTCCGGGTGCTTTAATTAGAAATGCTCAGTATGTGTTAACTTGAATGCGCAATACTAATTGAAGGGTAAAGGTTCAAAACCTGGTGCAAGAATACAGGGGAATCAGGCCCCCTATTTGCAAAGTAGTCAGAAAATGATAATTAGCCAAATTAGTCTAGACCTTAGATTTAGTGATTAAAAAATTGAATTTATGTTAGTTAGCAGTATGTTTTGTATGCCATTTATTGAAGCTTCCTTAACAGTCATGACTACCCAGATATTTGTAGATACTACAGCACCTGAGTCACAGAACATAGCACATACTGAATATCTGATCTACTTGAAAATTGACCAGACCTATTTCGTTTTCCATCCAGTACCTTTTGCTGTTAAAAGTTGAATTGAATTCATGATGCTGCTGCTAGTTTTAGAACCGTGAATATGCTGGTAGCTGCACAAGTTCAGATTTTCAGTGATGTCAGTGTAATTCCAATTTTCACTCTGAAACTCAGGATTTATATTTTCTTTGCTTTGAATTAATATACTTTTTTGCAACATGTCTAAATGTCTAAAATGTAGACAAGTCTAAAATGTAATAGTAGAAGCTAGCTAGCAAATATCTTCATTAAAGTGAGCCACTAAAGAAGCATTATTTCAGTCTGCTTATCATTTTTTCCTCTTGCTGCCTATGCCCCATTTGTAATTCCCTGTTCCTTAATGGTGGGACCCTGATAAAATTGCTTGAAAAGGATTTGCTTAAGTGGCCGGTAGCTGGGATTGTAGAGCTGAAGGAATGGCTTGACAATCCAAGCAAATTTTCTTTTTCACTCCACAAAATACTGATTTAGCAAGTCTTAAAGCGTTCTACATTCTTCTTTTCCTCATATTTAACACTTAAAAAACTATTACCACTTTTATATTCTCTTATAAGAACAGTAGGTTAAGGGGCTTTAAATATTACTGCCTGGCTTAAGTTTCTTAGAACTTATTAGATTTTTTCTGGGTTCTTGGAAATGGCAAGGAAATGTATTAGTTTAGAGCTGTTCAATTTCTGAGCAGATTGGGGCTGAATGCTGCACTGGCCATGGGACCCCTGGCCTAACTAGACTCCATGGTCCCTGGCTGTGCAGCCTACAGGGGCTGAGCTGCCCCAGGGGTAGAGGCAGGAAGCAGAAGGCAGTGGAGAGAGACCACAGCAGCAACAGAAAATGCAGTTTGAGGAGAAATGGCAGCCCATGCAGGAGCCAATAGGCCAAAAAGTTAATCACTCACTGGCTGCATGTAGTTTGTGGGTAGGACAGTCCTCTGAGTCTACTGAAATCTGGATCACATGCAAACACTTTTAACTTTCTCACAGGATTTTTTAATTCTGTATCTGTTTAAAATATCAACTATTAATAGCTTCCCATCACTACTGATACCAAATTAAGGGAAATAATTCATAAAAATTATAAATCATTAATTATATGCTATCCATTTAAAATAATTCATAAATTATATACTCTTACCTCTCTTTATATTTGGGAATTTATCATTTTATCAAATGTGTTAGTTGTTTGAAATTATTTATCAAATCATTTCTAAAAATAACTTCTACAGCTAATTTTGGAGCAGTTCACAATGGGTACTTGATATTTGAGTTGTTTTATAGCAACACAGACAAGATAGGGTTCCTCTCCCATCAAATCTAGTCCCTTCCATTATTAATCTAACCGGTCACATCTATAGGAGACATTTACTGCTGAGCTACTTAATTAGCTCAGCAGTAAAGCATTGCCATCTACACGTGCAGCTTGACTAGGGTACAGTAAACTAATTAACTTTGCTGTAGGTTAGTACTTGTAACCATATGTACTATCCTATGGTGGAATTTTTAAGTGTGCAGAAATGCACATGTAGACAAGGTTCCCTCTAAGCTGTGTGCGTGCACAGCTGCACACAATAAAAAATGTTGGTGCGCAGTAACTTTTTAATGCTGTGCACCAGGGCTGGCACAGGACACTTACTGCTCAGCTGCACGGGGGCTGCTCCGCTCCACTTTGCTCCTCACTGGCATTCCCAAGGGGAGGAAGAGTGCAGCCTTGGCTGGAGCAGCCCATGAGGGGGTGGGCTGCTGATCAGTGGGCAATCATTGCCCTACCCCTTCCTCCTTCCTGTCTGCAGTGTGGAGCAGGCAGAGGCTCCTTCCTGAGGCAAGGCAGGGGCAGGGACCAAGCCGGGCACCACATGGGCTCTGCTGGCTCCAGGGAACTGCTCCGGTCCCCAGCCCCTTCAGGCAAGCTTCGCCCTAAGCCCCACCAGCTTCACCCTAATCTTAGCTTTCATCCCTGTGCTGCAGGCCCCACAGGTCCTGCGCCAAAGCCTGGCAGCCCCATGGGTCTTCCATTATCTGCCTGCTCCCTGCCTCCACACCTCACTGCAGCCTTTGAAAGCGATGCCACATGCCTTGCTGCCTGATCTGCCCAATGCGGGATGCACATGGTGCCACGCCGCTTTCAAAAGCTGCAGTGAGGCACAGAGGCAGAGAGCAGGTAGAGCACAGCCTGCATGTGGGTCCAAGAGACATGACAGGGAGATACATGCACTTCATGTAACAAAGATACTAGAGACAAAGTCAGCTCTTTGGTAACTGAAGACAGAGAACTCAAATGCTACCCTACCCTGGGGGTTTTTAAGAAGAGGTTAGATGAACACCTTGCTGGGGTCATTTGACCCCAGTACTCTTTCCTGCCATGGCAGGGGGTCGGACTAGATGATCTGCTCAGGTCCCTTCCGACCCTAGAAACTATGAAACTATGAAGCTTGCCCGTATTTAAGTAATTAAGTCTTAATCCTGGCCACATTGACATGATTACAAGGTAGCATGTGGGTATTACAGCTAATTTCTTCTATTATTTACAACAATTAAAAGCAGAATTGGGCCTTTAAAGAAAAACATCTAACGAGATAATAAATAGACTGAGATGAATATTAAAGAATGAATCCAGTACACAGTGTAATATTAAATATTAAAGGGGGAAGCAGGACCAATTCAGGAATGGACTAAAGCAGCGTGCTCATGAACCAAAGTGGCGTGCTCATGGACTCAAGCGGGGTGCTCATGGATCGCTGCACCTTAGAGGGAACATTGCATGTAGATACTGATGGAGTTGGATGGGGCACGAGGGTGCATCAATGCAGGGCCCAGTGCATCCCCGTGGCCCAGTCAGCACCTCTGTAGCATGCTGAGACAAGTCAGAGCAAGCCCAGGCTTGCAGGCTGACTCAGCAAATCCCCTGCCAACTGAAATTATTCTGACCTGGCTCAATGTGCTGCAGTTCCAGGCACATGTGTAAATTCAGTGCCCAGAAGCAATAAACTCTGACACGATATGTACCAAAGTTAATTTCATCACATTAATTTTACCTGTAGATGCACCCACAGATCCCAAGAACTACTACTTCAAACCCTCACACATAACTACAAAGTGCAATGAAAAGGAATCAATGCCAAGGTAAAAGCAGGGAGGATGAGCAAACCACCAATGTTCTGCCATTGCAATGACAGAAAAATATTTGATTAATACATGTTCAGAAAATCCTAGAAAAATGACCATGTTCCACTTTTAGTAGAATCATGAGTTCTTTTCCCTGATTGGATGACTGTAACTCTTAAAATTGGCATTTTTTCTTTGTTTGTGTGTTTGTTTGTTTAGAGAAAATAATTGCAGATAATCCCAGAACCTTCAGTAAAGGTACTCTTGTGAGTAGTGAACTGAGTCCAGTATATTCATTGCACTTTGTAATACTACTCAGATACAAGGAGGGAAAAAAAAACTTTTAAAATAGCAATAATATATTTTACACTGAATAAAGATGAGTTTGATATAGTACAAAATGTCATACAATGTATATATAATAATGCTTTATTTTTTCAATATTTTTGTTTTTTTTCATTTGTATAAATCTGACCTTAATTATAGTACATACAGCATCAGGTCTTGAGTAAATAGTAAGTTACATAATATTGTATATGCCATGCTGTTGCATCCTGTTTCATAAATATATGGCATTTAGGGTCTATGAAAATTAATGGAAATTTTACAGAGTATGTGTGTAAATAGAATGAAAGCCAAGGACTTCTAGTTTAGACAGAATAAGGCCCATCATTCATTAGACAGATGCATGGCAATGGATGCTTATTCCTGCAAACAATACTGTAAGCAGTATGTGCACACATTCTTATGGATATTTCTAAAGAACTTACAGCTGCTGTCCTGTCCACCTCACACCGGCTACTCAGAATGAAACAGGCTTCGGCATCATCCATTCTAAAAGCAGATGGAAAAATCAAAAACTATCAGGCATGTGCTACTGTCATCTATGGCAGTGGTTCTCAACCTTTTTTGTACCAGGACCCATTTATAAACATTGATGGCTAGTCCCAACGCAGTGCCCCTCACTCCTGACCCATGCCCCCCACCAGGCCCCAGCCCTGCAGTGTGTGGGGCAAGGATGGGTGTGTGCAGTAGGGTGGGGTGTGTGCGAGGCATGGACAGCCCAAAACAGCCCCTTGCAGGCTGGAACTCTGCCAGCCTGCAAGGGAAAACCCATGGTTTCCCACATTTTTCTCTTTTAAAAGTGAATTCATTTTTAAAGTTTGTTCATGACCCTTCCATATATTCTTGTGACCTGCTTTTGGGTTGTGACCATCCAGTTGAGAAATGCTGATCTATAGCAGCAATTCAAATGTACACATTTCATAAATGCTTCCTATGGACTTTTTATAGCAACTGTTTATGATACCTTTATGCCCAGGGCCGGCCCATCCTCTCCTGCAAATCCTACAGCCGCAGCCAAGGGGCCATGCCCCACTTTCCCCCTGCTGCCTGCGCCAGGTTTAAAGGGCTTGATGCAGGCAGGGAGCCCATTCCCAGCCGAGCTCCTGCCTTGGCCCCGGAGAGGGAACCCAGCCATCCCCAGCACATGCTGCCCCCACCCGCGCCCCCTGCAGCAGAGCCCACATGTGTGCAGCCCAACCCTGACTATTTATTTCGGTGAGTTTATACTGCAACTAACCGCAATTTTGATTTTTCAATACATCAGAAGGCCCCAAAACTATACCTTGCAGGGGGTCCCAAAAAATTGTGGGCCAGCCCTGTTTATGCCTAGGCACCCTCACTCCATTACTGGCTAGAGAGTCTGAGTGTGAGTTTGAGAGGGAGGAAATGGAGAGAGCCTTTTAGAGCTAGGACTTTTGCAGCCAGAAGGGTGGAGCAAGAAGCTACTTAAACCCAGAACTGAGAGGAGACAGGCAGTCTGGCCCAGATACTACCAGAGAGAGAAGCTGTTGTACATGAACAATGAACTGGGATAGGCCCAGAAAAGCTGGAGCTGGATGTAGCCAGATAGATAGAGGGTAAGGCTTGAGGAAAAGGCACCTCAGGAGCTTTTAGTGTTTATTTGAAACTGCTTAAGTGTTTTGTTTATTTTGGACAAGGAATACTTCTGGCTTCAAGAGACTTACTGCAAGGCATGGGATGGACAGATAAGGGAGAAGGGAGGGAGTTGAGGGCACTTGGGTAGAATGCACGGGAGACAGATAGGAAAGCTGGCAGCCCTAGTTAGCTGAACTGGACTTGACAATGCCAGGGAACTGATGTGGGCTTGACAAGGCCTAAGGACCAATGTTGGCTTAATGAGACCTGGGACCTGAGTGCAGATTATTAAGGGCTATGGACTGAGTTAGTGCTTATTAAAGCCTAAGAACTAAGAGAGGCAAATGTAAGGCCTGACAATTTATGTGCAGCTGGCAGCCTGGAGGCAAGCTTGTGCGGGGCTACTGAGGAACCAGAAAAGCCAAGAAAACTGGTTTTACCATGGGAGATAAGCAATTGACTGCTGTGCAGGGGCTCACCAGGCAGTGATCTTAACTGGGTCAGGCTTGAGATGGTCCACATGATAAAAATGTGGAGAGAGGCACCCAAGGTGTTATTCTGGGAGGATTGAGGGCTGACTCACAAATAAATATATAAGGCCTAGTCATTGTAAACAAGACCAGAGTGGCCAGTGGGATGCTGAAGTGTAAAACAGGGTCAGTCTGATTGCTAGAAGATGTCAGACTGACTATTAGAACATTGGACCTGCCACACTTAGAAATGTCTTAGGCCAAAGTTTTAGGTTCCCTGTGTTCACATGTTTTCTAAAAGTCAGTGGTTGCTGTGTTTGCCCATACAGCGGCTACACGGAAATACATGATGGATTTCAACATCACATTCTAGGCTGAGTTTTGCTCCTTTTGACCTGTGTATTGCTATTCATATCACTGCAGTTAAACAAGTGAAACCAAGAACAGAATTATGCAGGGTTATATTTACCAATCTGAGATTCTGGTAAACCTGAATGTCAAGTTTATATCAGTTGCATCAATTACATCAGTGCAAAATGAAGCACTGTTTCTGTATGTATTTCATATGATTTTTTTTTTTACTAATATAAGCTATCCCATCATTGTTATTTGCAACTTTATACAATGGCACGGCCGTCCAACTTTTAAGTGACTGGAGGCCCTCTGAGCCACACAGCAGGGGCTACACATTGTGCAGGCTGAACCACTGTGAGCCACAAACCAGTCAGCATGCAATGTGGGCACCCGCCACACTTCACCACGCATGTGTCCTGGCTTCAGCCACAGCTCTCCAACAGTGGACTTCTCCATTGTACTATGGGCTTCCCTATGCTGTGCTATCTCCTGAGGTAGGGGGTAGGAGTTAGGGGGTAGGAAGTGGAAGCCGGTAGAGGGAGGAGGAGTCCAGTGATCCTGGCTGCTACTGAAGCCAGTGATGGGAGGAGTGACAGCTTGGTGGGAGCCTGTGACAGGACTCAAATTAATTCCTCATAGGCCACATGTGACTTGTGGGCCCTGAATTGGACAGCTCTGCACTGGGGTAGTGGCATTACATTATAGGTTTCACATCATGACTTCAATGGCATTATTCACATGCATAACATTAAATACATGCATAAATGGTCACCAAGGGGGCCCAAATATTGTAATGTAGAATCTAAGAAAATGGAAGAAGGTTATCTGTTCACTGATATTGATAAGTTGCAGCATAAATGTGAGGTATTTATGAATAGTGTTTTAAAGAAGGTGAGGCATTAGATGGACTATATCAAATCAATTGCTTTGTATTCATATATTTCTGTTTTTCATTGCTATACACTTGAACTTCACAAAGATTATTTTTCCAGATTGACATTTTGAATTATAATTCAATAGACATTGAAATATAAACTATAAATATATTAATGGAATTAGACACTAGAACAACACAGCATTTTGGTCCATTAAAAACTGTATTCAATAGGCTACACTGTGGACTGCTCTCTGCTGTACTGTGCTACCTCCTGGGGTGGCGGCAGGAAGTGGCATGCACTTGTCGCATGGCAGGAGGCACGATTGTGCGGATTGCTCATTAGATCATATTGCACCTTATTTCCGGCACAGGGGGAGCCCAATCCTGGGTAAGTTCAAAGCCATAGAAAAAAAGCTCCCGACACAGTCATGACAGATTCCAATAATTCTGTGAGTTCTGCTAAATATCTTGTCACAAGGACATGAAAAAGGTAGGAAGGAAGCAGGTTTACAAGGAGTTTCTTCCAAGCATGGGAACAAAGATGCTTGTTTAAAAATTTAATGTAGTTAGATGGCATAATGGGCTATTAAAAGGTGAGAGTTAATTTCTCCGTACTGAATAATAGAGGATAGTTAGGATGAAGATAAACTATGAAGGGTCTTAATACTGAATATTTTATTTTTGAAAAAGCTTGTAGACTTTACCTGCTAACCAAGGCATTCTGAGATCCTGGGGATGTATCTCGGTAAGCAGGGATACCATGATTTCCCCACTTATGAAGGTGCAGCCCTGGATAAACAGGGGAATTGGGGTCACATTTCTGTAAGTTGAGAAAGCTGTACAGGCATTCCTAGGGACTGAGGGGCCTCATCCTGCCCAGAAAGTCTTGGGGTGTGCAGGATCAGGGCAACTGAAGAGTCTAGGCATGATGCCTTTATGCCTGCCCATGATCTCCTGCCTTAAAGCAAATAGGTATCTGCTACAATAAAGTGGCACAAATTATTACTAGCTTTTGTTGCAACCACACTGTGATGCAACAAAGGGTATGGACATCAATTTTCTTTAGCTTTTTGCGGCTTTGGGGGTGGTACAAAGGAAAAGCCTGTTTTCACCCTTGGAGATGTTATGTGGAAAGAATCTGAAAGACTAAACCTAGAGTGAGGACCTAGAGACTAGTAAGAGTCAATGATGCCCAGGTCATGGGCCTGAGACAGGCGGAATGGTGGTTTTATCCACAGTGATCAAAAAGAGGTATTGGGAAGGGCTATGGAGGCGAATTGCATTCTGATTTAGCCATGTTGAGCTTGAGCTGATGGCTAGACATCCACAAGCAGAGATTAAGAGACTGACCAAGACTTTAGTTTGAACAGTAGGTCTGGAATAGAGAAGTAGAGTTACAGAGCTGGTGCTTGCATTTGTGTCTATAGATGTGATCACCTGGAGATAAAGCACAGAAAGGAAAGAGAATAGAACCAATGGCAGGGCCCTGTGGAATTTGAATGCAAAGGGAGGCCATGAGGGAGCTCTTCTAAAGGAGGAATAATTACAGAGTTTGAAGGAGAATCAGTCACAAAAGCCAAGAAAGAAAAACCTTTCAAGAAAGGGACAAGGCCGATTGTGTCAAAGGTGGCTGACTGGTAAGGGAGAATGAGAATGAAGTGGCAGTTTTGAGATTTGGCTAGGTACAAGTCTATGTTATGTTAAAAGCCTGGTTCTTTCCTTGATCTTGGCATTTCTTAATTTTTCAGTGCATGGCTTTCTAACCTTAGCAACCTTCATTTGAAAGAGTTTTTGCATGTAATATATATGTGTGTGTGTGTGTATACATTTTGATAATCCGACATTAAGTTTGATAATGAAGTTCTTTTTTCTATTACTTGTAACCGAAACCTCCATGTTATTTAATTGAAAGGTTTAATATGCA